GAAAGAGCTCGTTCTCCATTCCGGCAGGAATTATCATTCATCTGCGCAAAACTTCTGACAGAGCCGAGGAGAGGATCCACGACCCGAGTTTGGCGCTTCGCAATTTCTCTCCGCGCGAGGATGGAAGACGCGGGATACATCTGGAGAAGGAGGACGCGGGACGCGCGTCGTTTTGGTAAAACAAAATTTCGAAATGGGTTTCTCGGTAATTAGTTTCACGAGACAGCCACTCGTGCCCGGACTCCTGAGGAGATACGCGCCATCGAGAGTAAATTAGACATGATACAAAGCTCCGAAGAGGAAAAACATTCGCAGGAAATTGCAAATCTGACGTGGATGCAGCGCACAGTGAAATGGATGCGGCGCGGAATAATATAAAAATAAAAATTTTCCCGGATAAGAAGGAACTTTAGATCCAACGAGAGATTCTCATGGCCGATAATATATTTAATTCATGCGTCTCGTTATCCGGAGATGGTACAATGGGTCGTTTCGTAATTCGTATTTACGGGCCTCTGGTCGACCCTTCGCGAAGATCGATCGAAACGCATCAAGGAGAGAAGCAGGAAATATCGGTGACTCGGTCGTTCCCGTCGATATATCTTGAACGTCTTAGTGCCCTCTCCATTTACTTCGATGCCTGAAATGGTTTTCCCCCCTGCTACTAGTATTAGTCCAAATATAAATTCTATCATATTGGACAGCAACTAGAATACAGAGTGGTCACACTTTTGCGCACACACTCAATCTTTAACGCACACTCTTTATTTTAATTAAATTATAAATTATACCAGTCTATTATAATTTCCATTACTAAAGTGAGTGGCACTTTCAATTAGATGTGAAAATTGGAGAACTTTATGAAATAAATTAAGAGTAAACAAAACTTTGTCATATCCCAAATGAATATCGTGCGTCTAAGTCTAAAGGGATAGTCAAACCAATGAATGTCCACTTTGAAATTGGGCACCAGGAGACCGTATACGATAGCGAACTCGCACGTAATCCCGAATAAGCCTGACGATGACACCTTTCTAGGGAGACAACAATATAAATTATTTTCCCATCGTGAAGCACAGCTGTGTCGTTATTCTATTATCTTCCCAGAATGAGAGATAAGACGAGATTCGAAATACATCGTAAATTGCATTTAGATCCATTTATCTATTTAATAGTAATTTTGCTATTTCTTTCGCGCATAATATAATTCTATTTTTATATTTATATTGTATATTTTAATGTGAAAAATATTGGCACATGACAGATCGCTAACGTAAATTTTTTCAACAAAAAATATATTTTTAATTTAATTTAATTTTATTTTATTGTGTTTTATATTTATTTTATTTTATTTTATTTTATTTATACCTGTGGCTTTCTGTGCGTGTGATAATTCTGGAAAAATATAATATTTTTTATGACTTTATATTATTTTATGACTTTATTCTCCAATTTATATAGATCGATTTCTTTCTGCGGAATGTGGGCCAATTCATTCGCGACTTTATCGTTCTAGTCTTCTCAACTTCGGTTACTTTATCAAAAGATATGGTTATGTTCGCGCCAAGTTCACGTGCAGTAAAAACTATGAGCGATGATATCTTCTCTAAAGTTTTAAAGAGACAATTTCTCTTTTGCTAAAATTACTCTATCATTGTTTGTCACTTTTTACCGGTATATTCCAACAATGAAAAACATTTCCTATTATTTTCTCATTTATATATCTGCGGATATAAATTTTAATTTCTGCATTTTCTAATTAATATATATTATTACATGTATAATACACAATGTGCCAGTAAATGACTAAATCACATCGGTAAGACATTGATAATAATAAGCTCCCTGTTTTATGAACTTCTTATGTGTATGCGAAATAAATTGATGTACGACCATCCATTGTATGCAGAATAAATCGACGGATGATTATAAATATTCCAAAATTAATATTCGCTATTACTTGTCTTAATCCATGCATTTCGAGGCAATAGATCTATGAGATAATATTCATATATTTATCTCTATAATCTTTTCATTATTAAAGTCAAAACGCGAAATATATATCTGAATCCAATTTTAGAGAAAATTTAAAGAAATAATTATTGCCTGTAAACTTTGCAGTGAAACAATGATTCCACACAATAATTACACTGTCACTTTAATTCCTACTTTAAATGGATATATCATGAGAAATATCTACTTTGATAAATAACCATCTCTATTCATAGCAGGAATTAAAGTGATAGAGAATGGTAATTATAATCATTGTTTCATTGCGATACTTACGGAGGCGCGCGCGCGCGCGGTAATTAGCTCTTTAAATGTAATTAATTTAAATATATTTTGCCTTTGGAATTTTTCGTCATTTAGATGTAATTTTCAGATTGAGAACGCGCGCAGCATCGGATGATAAATAAAATAACAAAAGAGTATAATAATCTCTATATCAATCTTATTTTTGAGATTTGTGAAATAGAATATTTTGCATAAATTTAGTTACGTAGCGTTACATATTTTATAGCGACAACATATTTTTTATATCACATAATATTCGGCTTTGTTTCGGACGGCGTAGGGTAGGGATGGATACAGCGCGCTATTGTTTACCTGCCGTGATCTTGTTGTCAGTCGTGTTACTAGACTCGAGCAAGTAGGCATAAATTTAGTTTCGTAGCGTTACATATTTTATGGCGATATTTTTTATATCACATAGTATTCGGCTTTGTTTCGAACGGCGTAGGGTAGGGATGGGTACAGCGCGCTATTGTTTACCTGCCGTGATCTTGTTGTCAGTCGTGTTACTAGACTCGAGCAAGTAGGCAGCAATGTGTAAGCCGCTCTGTATATCGTTATATTACTCTACGAAACACGTGAGTATTCTCTATAAGAATTATAATATTAACGATTATCAATCCGTATAATTGATTAACTATCGCGTAAGAGTATCACTACGACGTTGATATCGATTGATTAATTAATCAAAGAAAGACAAGTTTCCTTGCATTAAACTTTTTATATATTTTATCTTCTTTTAAAAAATTTAATTTTTAATTCTTACTTTCGATAGCGTGTGAAGGTGTTTACTTGAAAGTTCATCAATAGAAATAAAACCATAGAACAAGAGAGTAATTTCTCTCTCTATCTCCACGCTTCGAGTTTTGTTTTCATCACGCGTTACTCACTGGAAGTTTATTAACACGACTGATACAAGTAGAATTTACACGAGCTTTTCTCATATCAGTTACGAAGCACGCGAAAGTAAATTGATAATGCAAAACAGTTGGGATTATTGAAGTGGAATATATAAAACGCTTATTATAGAAACCTTATGTGGAAAATAATGGTTTCATATTGTCTGTATAATATAATAATAATACGTATTAACGTTAATAATAAAATAGAATATCTCTTGAGAGAGATCAACGAATGAATTTTCTATGGATGAATGAAATATTTCGCGCATATTTCTTACGAAAAGTTATCATGAATTTTTACGAAGTTATCATTCTGGAAGTTTTTTGTAAAAGATATTAAAAAATAAGTCAATAAACTGTAGCGCGATACGAGGACGCAATAATATCTCATCTAGCGGAGACAAAGTTTCGCGATTGTTACCGTCTTAAATCTCCATCGAGTTGAAAATCGCCGACAAAGATTTCCGCGCATAGCTCTCCGGAACGCTACGAAAGAAAGAATGGAAAAAAGCGGCTATAGATCTCCCTTATGAGTTCTGCTGTCGCGGTACATAAATCAGAAGCCGACTTGCAACCCCGCAAGAATTTATCGAGTCTAAACGCCCACGTAATGCAATCCCCTTCCTGCTTTGTCGTCGAGATATAAATATACCGGAATAATAAAATATCTGTGATTTTTGTTTTTTCGATGCCGTATACATCCCGCACGCGATCCTTAATCCCCTCTAATCTCTTGATTGGATTTATAATGGAAAATGGAGGGAGAAAATCCCTTTCTCTTTTTATATATTGTATATAAAATCGATTTGTGAGATAAACAACGAAGATCTCTCTCCGAGTTATAATCATTTTATGTGTACATTTATACATAAAAAAAAATATATATATATATATATATGTATATATATATTTAGCTAAATGTTGTTTAATTCCGAGAAAACTCTTTTCAATAATATTTTTAATATATTGAAATAACACTTGGTCTTTTTATATCATATTAAACTGAAAATAAAATTAATATGACATATGAAATATTCGTGAAAAGTTTGAATAATGTTTTAAGATATTGAAAGTAATATTATTGAAAATAAATAAAAGTATTATTGAAAAGAGTGTCTCGAAATTAGGCGACAACATTTAGCACTGAATGCAGCGCTAAATAGAAGTGTGAATAGCAAGCAGTGGAGCAAACCGAATTATTTAACCATTTTGTTACATGCTATCGCCGTTCATCGCGTTGAACGTAAAAGTGTATTGAATCGAGAGAGGAGAACAGAAATTGAAGTGGCGAACGTTTAATCGTTCGCTCACAGTGGACGTGAATTTATTCAGATTGAGGCATTGCTATGCAAAAATAGTCTAAATCGCTTTATTCTACAACGAAATTGCAAATTATTAACTCTTTTAACACGCGCAGCTCATCGAAATATTGAATCTTTAATCGGGTAATCGGATAAAATGGATTTATATAAAATTAATATGAATTAATTAATTATATATATTAAATATTATAAATAGCTATAATAAATATTACCATGTCTAATAATTAGTAGTAACTTTTTAGCGAAACGTCAAGATTCTGCATTTTTATTTAGTCTCTCAGTGAGCGCTTCTACCGGTATTATTTGTCGCTGTACGTTATTTCGCGTATGACGATCGTATCGTGCCGGATATTTCAGAAGCGGAAGGGTCACGTATGCGAAATGAAAGGTCGACATTTTTTTCCATCGAGTTTTCTGCCCGGCGATTCGCGCGGACGCGTATAATTTTTGACTGCGTGACGCGGCGAAAAGGGTACGCGACAGATCATCTCTCGCTCGCTCTCTTTACGCCCGTACGAACGTCACGGTGCATAAATCAATGGTAACGTGGTTGAACACGGCGTGGATTTATCGAACGCGTCTTTCCCCGTCCGTAATGATAAATTATGACGATCGAATGACGGCGAGTCGATCTCCAACGAGAGGGTGACGACACGCGCGTGTGTGCACAGGGTGACGTGTAATATGGGGTGCGCTTTGGGAGTCGTTTTTGGGGGGAATAGAGAGAGGGAGAGAGAGAGTATCGACGGCTACCAGCATGCGGGGGTTGTTATATGCTCGTCGTTTGCTCGCCAGCCGCCAATACGGACTTTCCGTATAATGGCGTCATCCCCGAGGCGAGTAACGAGCGGTTATAGGCACTGCGTTACATAAATATAAGTTTGCGAGAACGGTTACCTGTATGATAATGCACTTTTCTTTAGGGTGAATGTTAATCAACGCGCTAAGTTTAGATGTCTTGTGGGAAATGAGTAAAATGCGAAGAATTTATAGAAATTTATATTAAGCTTATCTCTAAGCTTTCCGAAGTGTTAGGGATTGTCTTATCAATACTTTAGCAATTAATATTTTAATTAATATCTTAATAAAATATTTTGATAAAATATTTTAATATTTTAATAAATATTTTAGTAATTTTTCTCTATCAAGTGAAAAAACAATTGCTTGCATAATAATATACGACATAATAATACAACGATAATCATAGCAACAATCGATCATTGACGCATCAATGAGCGGCAGCTTTTTATTACTAATATTAGAATAATATAATCGTGGCACACTAACTGACATCATTACTTCTTTTATTTATTCTATTATTCTTTTTTCTGGAAATTCTTTTGATATACAAATACATTAATGTCTGCGACGCAATTAAGAATTTAATTCCCGATTGATTGGCGCGTAAATGTGAAAGATTATTCTCGATATATGGGACCGAACGTTGAAGAATGTCGAGCATTCGAAAATCTCGATATTTCTTATGGGAGCATTTCGCGTAATGTGTCAATTTCAGATACGTCCGCGGCAGGGGCACGCTCGGTGAAGAATCACGAATTGCGAAAATGAGCGCGGCCGTAGAAAACGGCGTGGACGCCTCGCGGAAGCCGCGCGGCGGCGTTTTCTCGGAGGCGTTCGCCAAACGCGCGCAGCCCCTCGAGGAAGGTGAGTCCGACGACAGCCCCTGGTCACTCCTGGGCAAGGTATTACACGGGATTCCCCGCTGCTGCTTGGGGAAGGAAAGATAAACATCGTGTGCGCGAGGTTTCAAGCCTTACGTCCGCCGTGCGAAGCTTCTGCCGGAAATCCGTGACACTTGCGCGAGCTTATCTCGAAAGTGACGTTAATCAAGCTAAACATACACCACGTCACGTTCCACTTCATTAAATGAACGCGATTCTTAATTAATTATATTTATCATATTTATTTAACTGTGTTGTACTCTCTTAAATGGATTTAATATAAAATTGTCAATGACAAGCAGTGAAGAATTTACAGAATGGTCTCAGTTATATATAAGTATAGCACTGCAAATCAATGAAACCTTATTGAAAGAATCCGTGATATTTAAAAAAAAATACATCTTATAATATTTTATATGAGATAAATTTATAGCAATATATTTTGTTAAAGAAATATCTGAGTTTAATCCTAAAAGTCTTGTTCATTTTTTTGTGAATTTATTACGTTTTAGGAGAAAAAAATTTAATGTGTATATAATTCTAAATATTAGTTATACGTGTTTCATTTTAGATGTGTGTATTTTTCTAAAAAAGTCTAAATAAAATAAATAAAAAATTCTTTAAAAGCTACATCTTGCAAATATTACTTACTTTTTAATGAAATCTTACTGCTATAATCAATGATATAAGACGAAGGAGCAAAGTGTGAGTATTTCACTGATTTTTAGTGAAATATGATTCTTAATAAAATCTTGTGTCATTGCGTTAATCACTGGCATTTTCACTGATTCAATTTAAGAGACTATGCCATTATCATATGTTATCACTTTTCATACTTTAAATGTTCCATTGTTACTACGATTTTAGATCACGTAGATAACAGCTTGCATCATATATATTTCAAAAGATTTAATTATTAGATTAGATTATTTATTTTTATTTATATTTATATATATTTTATATTGTATATAGTATATAATTACCACTTTATTGCGATATTTAAATAGTACATATCATGTCTACTTCGATTCGTGCTACACATGAATTTCCCCTATAAGAGTCCGATATATATTCAACCGGTGTAATAGGCCATAAAGAATCTCGCTCTCGTTGAATAGACACCATAATATCGGCACGGATCATACATCAGGTTATTCCTTATAGTTACCGTCTGACTGCGACTCCAATATATCTCCAATCGAGACAGCACACGTGTAGCGATAAAAAAGGGAAAAGGAAAGAAACCGGGAGAGAAAAGTATTTCGTGTTTAAAAGTTTTAAGAGATTCTTTTCAATTCACAGTAGCAAGTCGATATATAAAATAAACTAGCATCTCTTTTTTTCCTGGATATTCCAGAGCGACATATTTCCAGCTTATTTAAAATGAATGAACTTCCGGGCGCGCGTACACCGGCGAAATAGTCCGCATTTATAAAGGATCATCTCGACGGCGATTCTCGCAGGTGCGCCGATTTCGCCGTAACTCGAAGCTTCATACAGTCGTAGAATTCTGCTCTAATTGGAGGGAGAATATTTGCCTCGCTTACACTTTGCTTGTAATTCAAAACATCGCTAATCCATTAATCCCGTTTCTCCAGCGCGTTGCCGTACGGAAGTCGGACCAGTAAACTACGCGCTCCACCGGATATGTATTAAGTGCAAACTTAATTTTCCTGCTACCTGTGTTTACGTGTATTACACGATTGAACTCGTTGCAATACCTCGGGCTGCATCTGGATACATTCGGAACACGCGTTTCCGCATATGTCGTGTTTGATATTTTATTAAAAATTCTCGGTGACCTTATATAATTGATTAAAACAGTAAGATTTCACTTAAAAAATATGTAATAATTGTGTATATTTGCAAGATGTAGCTTTTAAAAGATTTTCTACTTGTTTTAAAATTTGCCATTTTTTTTAGAGAAACACACATAGAGATCTGAAATAAAACAGATATAACTAACATTCAGAATTATATACAGATTATTCTTTTTTTATTTATTTTATTTTATTTTTTTTTTTTAATTTTTTTGCTTATTGTTGCGTTAAAAAAAATAATACTTTTATAACGCAAGGGAGAATTTGCGTGTCGATACGAGGTAATTTATCAATGTCAATTTTCATTAATTTTCCGATAAGATTCGCGCTATAATCTGCGCGCGATTTTAACTTTTATTACCGGTCGGTCATTCATTTTCCTCGATGTCGAGAAAGTTAGAGAGTTGTACGACGTGATAGATAGCGGTCGATCCGGGAGGTCGCAACACGCATCTCGGTTATCCCGGAAGCTGGAATGATACGCGGTCGCGGTCATGATTTGCGACCGCTGCATTGCACTTTTCAAACGAGACGCGAAACAAAATCCCGCTTGATATATACGTAATATACGCCGGTCTAACCATCGGTTTAGCGCATTACTTGCAGCCGCGATCCGCGCGATTTCTCTAATATAATTAGAGCCGCGGCTTAAACCAACACTTCCCGTCATAAGCCGTCCCATTCCGGTAACGCTACTCTACCGGGTTACATATCGCTTTATCTTATAAACCGAAACGGGGCTCCTGTTTCGCATTAGAGAGCCCGGTCGTACGATATCGATAGTTTCGAGTTGGTGTAAAAGCTCATAAAGAATCCCGCTTCCGACACACGAGAGGCGCATAATATCGGAATATGAGCCGTATTTTAACGCGACTCCACCGCCGAGGAAACCAGGAGGAGGCGTATCTCTCTCCGTGTTCGTAACGTAGACCTAATATACCTCCGACCTGAAAGGGCTATCCAGGATCACGTGAGCCAGCCGTATGCACTTTGGCGCATATACACCCACCCATCACACAGATCGTTGTGTGCGGCCAACCCTCGTATCGACATCGCGCGAGATATTTCAACGCGGTCGCCTACTTTTGCGAGGAACACGTTTCGCTTCATGCGCTGCACGCGAAATTTATCGTCTTGGCAGCCCGTGCCGACGAGCTGATTCATTCCACCTTCGTCGAGTCCTAAAAACTTGTGAAACGAACATGTGTCTCATTGTTCGATTTTATAATAATTTATTGTAATACATAAATTTTTTTTTTTTTCTACAAAATGAAAAATTTCTGAAATAAAATTTAATACACGAGATATATAATTCTTTGAGATTGCTATATCACTCATTTTCTTCCGCCAAAAAAAAAAAAAATACTTTTGATAGTTAGATATTTTCAAATTTATTTTACAATGCTATTTAAAAAAAAAAATTTAATTTATTTTTCTGATTCTAGACAGCGCGAACGATGCGAATGATTATAGTTAACCCCCGACGCGGAAGTATCTTCTCTCTGTGAAAGGGTGCAATTGTTTAGTGGAGAGAATTGTCGGTACACGAGGCGCTATAGAGTTTCCTTTTTTTACTTAAGACAGTAACGATCGCGCGAGATTATTTGGTGAGGGTTTGACGTTTCTGATGTGAGTGCTCTTCCTATCGTGTATTTAAAGAACTGCTACAACCTCGAGATCAAACTTCCCTGAAAAAAGAGGTCTCTTTCTCTTTGCTGATCTACCCGTTTGAGCGTGTTTTTTTCTGCTCATCCGCGATCAATCGGCTTAAAGATGACGGACAGATATCTGAGCTGACGATATAGCAAATCGTTTAATCGAAGATATTGAAAGGGCTTTTTTTTCTATCCTGCATTGAGATTTTCCATTTTTATAACACACAAACATATAATTTTAAAATATTATATTATCATTATATTATTATTATGTTATTAGTTTCGTGAACACATTTTCTAAATTATAGTTTAAACGCTTTTTGCGTGTGTGATTTTTGAAGGAAATAATACATAGAGAGAGGGAGATTTTTAATATACTAGCAACTTGATTGCACGATTGCGTTTTCTTTTTGTTTGCGTTGAGGATACGTTTCTACCTTCGTAAAGTTCAGGTTCTCGACCTTTGTGAGAACGAGGAGCAATTTTGCGACAAATCGTTTCTCGAGATCTGGCGATAATACTTTCTTCCTCCGTAAGACTTCGCAGGACGCTTCAATGCTTTTAAGGATTTGGCTGGAAGACGTTTGGCGTGATCCTAGGAGTTCGTATCTTGTCGACAGAAGGGACTTTTGTCTTCGGCAAATGAGACTTGTCGATAAAATACGTTTCCGATGCAGCTTTCTCCGGGCACAGGAAGCAGTTTAATTGCGTTTAATTGCAACTCGGGTGCAACAAATAATCCGCGATCAGGTTTGTTTTCCCTCTCGCTCCCCCGCTCCTCCGTTGTCATCCTCATTACGCGATGAAACTAAAAGCTTGCTTCGCGCTTGTACGAAAGTTTCGAAAGCTTTGGTGGCGCGTCCATACGAAAAATCGAGCGTGCGCGCGATTAAAATTGAATTAAACGTAAACTGGTAAATGTAAACTGGAAAACGTCATTAAATCTTCACCGAGTAGCGGCGATGCGTGGCAGCGCGAAACTCGTTGCTAATGCAATTACGCGTTCTCAGCGGAGCGTGATCAGCTTTAAGCGATTTAAAATTTTCGAATAAATTCACGGGATGATTTTTGTCCAATGCAGCGCGCTAATTTTTGAGAATTGTATTTTGTCCCAGTCTTCTCTTTTGATCCACTTTCCGAGAAATGCATTTTTAAAGAAAGTTCCCTTATGATATATATTGGGTTGAACGGAAAGTTCGTGCCGTTTTTTCGGTCTTCATCTCTTAGTAAAAAACGGAACGAACTTTCCGTTCAACCCAATAGTTCGTTTCATAGGTTTTCGAATAACCGTCAATAGCCGAAAAAACACTTTTTGGTACATTTGAAATTGGTTATTAACTGGTTTATTTCAAAACCTGTGGATCGAACTACAATAATTTTGATCTCATTTGAAAGATAATTTAATACCGAACAAAAAGTTTCCTATAAACATAGGTCGAAAAATGCTTCCTTAAAAAGTTAGCGCCCAAAAACCTCTAAAATCACGGTTATTTTTTACATTTTTACAAATATCAGAGAAAGGATGCGTCTTTTAACAAAAAGTACCGAAACAAAAGTTGTAGAGAATTAAATTATCTTTCAAATGAGATCAAAGTTATTGTACAATACATCGCGGAACTTTGTCGTTTACAGTTTACGGAGCTTTACGAATTTTGTTTACCACATCAAAGCGTCGCCGACTGCATACGCAACTCGCTAAATTTGCGTTTAAGCTCGCGCGCCGAGTTCTAGAATGTGTTATCCGATATATTATAATTCCGTCGCCGCTAGCTCTCGAGTTGGTTGTTTATCAGAATATAGTTATTGTTTTCCTTTGACGATGACATGCCTTAAAAAAAAAAAGGGGGAACAAGAATTCCTTCGAAATGGATGTAATTCTTTCATTGATTCGTGCCAACAATATCTTAGGCTTATAAATATCCAACTTCGCGAATTTATAAATATACTACAGTATCAAAGCAAAATGTCTCACATTTGCTTCTGTAAGATTTCTGCTAAAGCACGTTTGATAGCGCGATATCATGAAGGCAACGAAGATCGCGCGTCTGTCCTGAGGTTGCTCGGGTGCCTCTGCACCGAGCTTCCTCTCACAAACTTGTCGATAACAGTTTGGCAACCCTCCGGGCCTTTCCACCTTCGCGCCACGACCGCCGAGTACCACGGGAATTCAATTATCTCGCCGTTCGTACCACCAGGCCAGGCGAAGATAATGCGAGACGAACTAGCCCGGGAGAGGACTCGGCCATCTTGGACGATGTCCGGATCCGGGCTCGGGAATTCCCGGACTTCTCGCACGTCTCGGATGAAAGGATTAAGCGCGATCCGATGGGCACTGTGCTCACTACGTGCCAGCGATCTTCGCAAAGCGGTTACTTACTCCCGAATCGCGCCCTGAGCGAGCTCTAAACCTTACAATGCCGACGTAACGGGCATCTTTTCTTATCGCAAACCGTATTTTTCAAGAATCTTAGATCTTTCTATGAACGCGCGAACACGTCATCATTTTTGCTGTTGCAACCTATAGCGCATTTTCAATTTTTTTTTCTCTTTGATTGCAGCTCTCAAGACTTTGAATCATTTGAACGAGAAAGGCGAGGCGCTTGCTCTTCAAGATGACCTCACAACGCACCCCACCCTGGCCTTGATGCGGCGCATCCTTGCAGATGCACAGGTAAATGTCTCTGTGAATTTTTCGCAAAATTCAAATTTAAACCATATATTCAATCTATTTTGATTTTTTAATTGCGGAATAATTCTAATTCGAAAAACAAATCAAGCGTAATTCGGTTACGTTAAACCGTCAGATGATGGAGCACGATATCTTTGAAACACGCTATTACAAATTGTCTCGCGTCTCGAATTCCATGGAAACGGCGAACTTGATTTAAGCAGCCTCTACGCCAAGAGGTTAATTATCGCGCAGATAAGGAGCTATCCGCACACACACACACACACACACACACACACACACACACACACACACACACACACACACACACATTGATATCGAAATCTATTGTCTATATCGAGAACTGCTGGCGTATTATATATCGTCAAACACACTAAATCGTGTTCTCTGTTTAACAGACAAGAGAGCTGCATGTACTCTGCAAGTTTCTTATTAGAAATATCTCTTAAAATAAAAACTCTACAGTAGCACAATTGGTAATTAATTTAGTTAAAAATGACATAATAAATATTAAATATATAGATTTCTTTCTAAAGGATAAACTTTTCTATAATTGTCGAGAAGTAACACGCGCGTTTATTCGGAAAGTAAACCGCTCGAAAACGTTTCTCTAGTGTCGGGGGTGGAAGCAGCCCTTTTGCGCGCGTCGATTTTCAAGAAAGTGAGGAACCGAGGATTTGAAAGGGGTTAATTGTCAGACGGACGAAGGGTCGCTCTATTGATAGCGCGGATTCCTTTGTCCACCGCAAACCATTGTTATCTATGCCAGACTGCTTAATATTTATTATGAGAGAGAAATATTAGATGGCAACTCGGAGAGAAAGAAAGTCGCACGTGGGCGTGAGAAGGGGGAAAGGGGCTGATGGTAATTGCGACGGACTTGGTCTGTCCGGGCGAATAAAATTAACAAAATAAGGGTTGCAGTAGAAAATGTCCTTCGCGTGATGGCGTTTAATTCCTTTGCCGCAGTTGCTTCGTATTATTTGCATTACATTTGAGACTGCTTCGTGTGTAACAACATAGTGTCTATATTCTCAAGATCAATATAGCCACATACACAGTGTATTTATATGAACTTTTTTTTAAAAGTCTTCCATATTTGAATAAAAATTCTACGTTCGAGCGTCGCGAATACGATAGCCAATGATAAAATAATATAACACGATTAAATAAATAAATAAAGATTAAATTAATAAAGAAAATTTCTCTCAACAACTTGCATTTATTTAATAATTTCGTAATTATACGATTAGCCGACATTGATAACAAGATTCGTGGCTACTAATTAAACGAACACCACCCGTCCGGGGGCGATGCTTCTCCGGATGATCGTAATGAAGGCGGAAATTATGACGAAAGCGGGTACTGTTTTCCGTTTAAAATTGAAAGGTCAAATTAATTAAGTTGTCTACATCGTTACGTATATTCCATGCTCGAGTAGGCTTAAAGGCGGATTCAAGATCTCCGTAACGACTTCGCTTACGGACTGAGTGTCGAAAAGTTATTGTTTCATTACCGTCTTTCCCATCTGGGAGAAGCACTCGTGATGAAACATGTAAATGACGTATCATCGAATCATACATAAAAGGAACTTTGCGTGAATTATAGATTTCGAAAAAAAAAAAATTTATGTTATATATATTAAGTACGTTCAGATAAAACATGGATTAAGGTCGTTGTTTTTCATAAAAATTTCAATCTCTATGTTACAATTGAACGTAGCATATATATTTCCTCAAATAGAATTATTTCATATCGAAAGAGGCGCTGTGTTTTATTTGCATTCTAATATCGGTTTTTAGCATACGAGATTTAATATTGAACAATTGTTTGCGGTGTTCGGGGAACTAAATGTGATTGATTTATAATTCAATTAAGGCGCGTACATGGCGAGATTTTTATTTCATCTTAATTAAATTTATGAATATATATGCCGAACAAACGGCATGACCATGAATATAATATAATATAAACACAATATAAATCTCGCTGTCTCAATAATTGCAATATCTGTTTTTAATCGCGCGTTCATTGAATATAAAAATCCGTCCGCTCTGTATGAGACGTATCGCCCGATATTGATTACGTTGTACGCGGCGAATAAAAGGCGAACAAGAACGCGACGTATACCGAACTTTCATTTTGGCGTGTCATTCACGTTTCGCGCGTAACGCGCGTCGAGAGCACTCTCTCTGTTAAAAGAGCCGTCAAACTTGTTAATGCTTGATGTAATGATTTTCGCAGCACGGATAGATTAATATTGGCGCTCGACTAATTTCGCGGCGTATTACCGACGATGCGATGGCGAATTGCAAAGCGTTTTATGCGGCATAATGCAAGAGATGCAATTATCTCGCACAACTACAGAGTCAGATGTAAAACATTATACACATCGGTGCTCTAATTATTATCTTGTTATCGTCAAATTCTTGCCATATTTTACGGTACATCTGTAATATTGGAAAAATTAAATCGCGCGGTATAAAAAGATTTTAATGCACCAAAAATATTTTTTGTAAAAAGAGAAAGGGAGAGTTTGTTAAAGATTGTACTACGTAAAATTCTACGGCAAAATTCCGGATCGGCATAAACAGATTCGAATAATGACATATTTTCAACGAGAGGGGGAGGGAAAATGTCTCGTGAACGAAAGGGATGCTATTTGGATTATAGCTAAATCACACACGACACGAATAAACGCGCATAAACACGTTATCCGACAAATAGCATTCGGACGTGGTGGACGCGGCTATTTTGGGATTAATGCAATCGAACTGATGGCTCGCAGTTTGCTGACGGTGTACACGAGCACTCGAACGTCACGGTGAATTAAAATTGGGCCGTACGTGCTCGCGTTTACAATTAAACAATGCAAAAATCGCGGGAGTAATTCGATTGGCAATGCAATATAACGCGAGAACACTGTTATATCGCGGATTAGCGGAGATAGCTTTCTTTTTCAATCTGCCCGAATACCGCGTATCAATTACATCGATTATAAATTGTAGATTACATTGATCTTATATATGTATATATTTTTTGTTTTTTCTTTATTTTTTTTTATTTTTTTTGAGGATATAATTATTTAAATATAAAATTGAAAAACGATATTTTAAATACATGCAAAGTGTGAAATTCAAAAAAATTTTATTTACTTTCTTAAATGAAATTAATGTATTATCACTGATAAGCAATAGATTTAGTTACAAGTATAGCATTGCAAACAATGGAAAAAGATGCGTTTTATATTTGTAATATTATATATAAGATAAATTCATAGCAATATATTTTGTTAAAGAAATATCTGAGTTTATTTCTAAAAGTCTTGTTCATTTTTTATAGATTTATCAAATTTAAGAAAGAAAGTAAAAAAGAATATAATATACATATAATTATGAATTTGAACTCTATTTATACAAAATGTTACTATAATCAGTAAAACATAAAACGTGGAAGTGTGAGTATTTTTACTGAAAATCAATGAAATGCTCACTGATATTAGGTGAAAAAATCCTGTCACTGTTTAATCAGTGTCATTTTCACTGATTCAGTTTAAAAGAATATTAACTGTCACGTGATCATCGAACGATCAAATGTCAATGACCGCGTCTATCCGTTTCATACATTGAAAAATTGGTCACCTTTTGTTACCCCGACGGGGGTACAAACAGCTCTTGCGTGCATCACAAGCGCCTTTGAGTCAGACCTCGGGACATGTCGCGTTTTCAATCGCGTCTCCGGTACCCAAAAGATGATCAATCGGCCGCCGAGCAATATCCGGCGGAAGGAGAATTTCCAGTCGACGTTTCAAGGCGAAATCGCCCCATTATGCGACTTGCGTTTGAATTTCGATCTCCTGCTCGTATCCACGCGAGAAAACGGAGACTAACAGAAGGAGAGAGAGACGGACGAAATGCGGAAGGCGAACCCGAGAGAATGAGGGGCTGCTCCTGCAATCCCAGGACACATAGAAAAGGAGAAACGTGACGAGGCATATGTAATGTCGCCTAAGCGTGCACCGCGGAACGGATACGCGGCGCTGACGGAGCCGGTAACAAAGTTTCCCAGCTGCTGTATACGATCGATACGCGCCGCGATATCTCAGAGTTGAAACTCCGGCCTTGTTCGTTGCGACGAGAAAAGCGTCGCCGAAAACCTTGTCGAGGCCGATGCCCGAGTAAAAGTTTACGAGAACGATACGGCTTTCCTCGACCGACGCGTCGCGAGCTTTCTTCAGAAATGTGTTTTGCAAAATTTGCAACTTTAAATGTACATCTCACTCGTTCTATTTTTGATCGAGTAGCACGAACTCGGGTGTGTCACGCGTCGAAATATCGACGGTCGTCTCGGGAGTCTCGCGAGACTCATCAAAGTTGCGTGCAGTTCCTGGCAGTGTGGTCGATCGTATCGATCGGAGAAACCCTCGACCGAGCGAGAGAAATTGAAGAAAAAAAAACGCGAGTGCGAAAGAGGGAGAGAGAGGGGGAGTATGCGCTCGACGATGTCGGGAGTAATAAGGACATTCCCGTGGGACGACCTTGCGCGCGTATGTGGCGTGGCCGTTCTCACGGGCAGAAAAAAATAAATGTGCTCGTATAATGAGAGCGTATCTACGCAAATTACAAGAAACGGGAAGAAATACGATTATTCGACGAGCGGAATCTTTGACGCTTAAATTTTGCATACGATACGCGACAACGCTGTCGTAGAGACGCGCCTCTTGTTAATTTGATTCGTACGGAGAGGTAATAACGTTATCATGTCGAGCGCGTCACTTAACCCTCGTGATCTATCATTTTCTATTCCTGAACACTCTCCATAATAGCTCCGATGTTATTTCGGCAAAGTAACTTCATGCATCGCATATAATTTTATATGATTATATATATGTGATATAAAATTTTATCTACAATTATTTTAAAATGAGAGAGAGAGAGAGAGAGAGAAGTCTTTATGTGCGCTGAATATTTAATTTTCAAAAA